GTGTTTTTTCTTTCAGCACCCCCCTACATTTGCTTTTCTCCTTCAGAATTTCTGTGACTGTACACCGGACCTCTTAGATTCACCCCTGTAGTATTTTCTCCTGTCTTTTCTATTTCCATGCTTTGGGATATGACTTAAATTTTATTTTTCATTGATTTGTTATGTGTGTGTTTGTGCCACCATGCATATGTGGAGGTCAGCGCAGCGTTGGTTGTCTATTTCTACTGTGTGGTCTTTGGGACTCAAACTCAGGACTTCAGGCTTGACACCAAATGCTTTTATCAGTCCTGGAATGTGACTTTACCTAAATCATGCAGCTTCTCTTTGGGGTCAAAACTAATTGCCTTCTCCAAACCAACTACTAATACAGTCAGGAAGCTACAGAGAATTAATTTAACTCCCCAAAGCCATGTTTAATCAATGTTTCAATATTTTCACTTTAAGAGTTTTATTGCCTCATACATACATTCTATTTGTTTTTCTTACAAATGGTTCGTCACAGGTATTTATTTTTGCTCATTAATTGACATTCAGGCTTGGTTAACTGACTATTTTAAGCACCAGCAGTTCCACACCTGAGGAACCCACAGCTAGGTCTCACCCTCTTCAGCCATTGAATGGGAGTGTGGTGCCCACCACCAAGGACCCCTGGGAAATCCTCTTTGCTCTCTTCTTATAATTGCTCAGATTGAGCCTGAACCACGTTAGCCCACACTTGTCAGCTGTTTCTTTATCTTATGGGAGTGAAGGAAACCGTATTTTGTATAGGTGTCCTAGTTATTAGACATTCCACAGATCTGAGGTCCAGGCCTCATCCCCAACCTTTTCATTTTAAAGACACACATTAAGTTCTCACAGCTGGGCTCTCTCCTGTTCTCCACATTTATGTCCAGTCACAGGGAAGAGAATAGGAAGACAGCCCACAGTGGGCCTCTAACTTGGTTCTCAGAGCCCAAGTGTGATCTCTATAGATTGCAGTTCCCTGCGGAAAGCTGGGAGCTCATTTAAATAGCCTTTTCCTATGCTATCCCTCACATTGTGCACAAATCTTTAACATAGAATCCGTGCCCTTTTTGATAACTAACCTTGTGAGATAGGAGATCTATTCACTTTTTTTTTTTTAAGATGAAAAAGCTCTGTGGTGGTTTTTTTTTTTTGTTTGTTTGTTTTTTGTTTTTTATTCTTTCAGTTTTCACCCACTTTGGTATGGGGCAGACATTGTCATGTTAGTCTTATAGATGGGTATACTTAATTAGCAATCAGTTTTTTGAAGCAAAGCCCCAGATTCCACTTTTCTCTCAAAATGAGTTTAAAATGCTCAAAATCCATATTCCCTGATACAAAGCGTATATTCTTTTTTATTTTTATTTTTTATGTTAATTACAGCTTATTCACTTTGTATCCAAGCTGTATCTCCCTCCCTCATTTCCTTCGAATCTTACCCTCCATCCCTCATCTCCTCCCATGTCCCTCCCCAAGTCCACTGATGGGGAAGGGGTCCTCCTCTCCTTCCATCTGACCCTAGTCTATCAGGTCTCATCAGAACTAGCTGCATCATCTTCCTCTGTGGCCCCTTTAAGGGGATGGTGATCAAAGAGCCAGCCACTGAGTTCATGTCAGAGGCAGACCCTGTTCCCATTACTAGGGAACCCACTGGAGACTGAGTTGCCATGGGCTATATCTGTGCAGGGTTTCTAGGTTATCTCCATGAATGGTCCTTGGTTGGAGTATCAGTCTCAGAAAAGACCCCTGTGCCCAGATTTTTTTGTTCTATTGACCTCCTTGTGGAGTTCCTGTCCCATCCAGGTCTTACTATTTCCCCCATCTTTCATAAGATTCCCTGCACTCTGCCCAAAGTTTGGTTATGAGCCTCAGCATCTGCTTTGATACACTGCTGGGTAGAGTCTTTCAGAGGGCTTCTGTGGTAGGCTCCTGTCCTGTTTCCTGTTTCCTCCTTCCAATGTCTGTCCCATTTGCCTTTCTGAGTGAGGATTGATTATCTTACCCAGGCTCCTCCTTCTTGTTTAGCTTCTTTTTTTTAAATTTTATTTTTTTTCTTATCAGTTATATTTTATTAACTCTGTATCCCAGCCGTGTCCCGATCCCTCATTTCCTCCCAGTCCCTCCCTCCCTCCCTCATCTCCACCGTGCCCCTTGCCAAGTCCACTGATAGGGGGGACCTCCTCCCCATTCATCTGATCCTGTTGTTTAGCTTGTTTAGGTGTACAGATTTTAGTATGTTTATCCTACATTATATGTCTAATATCCACTTATAAGTGAGTATATACTATGTGTCTTTCTGCTTCTGGGATACCTCACTCAGGATGATCTTTTCTAGATCCCACCATTTGCATGCAAATTTCATGATTTCCTTGTGTTTAATTGCAAATATTCTTAATAGGAGAGAATGTAGTCAGTATTTGATGTTTCTATGTGCCAAGAATGCTCAAAATCAGTTACACACACTATGTACTTTTATTCTTAAAAGGGAAAAAATTAGTATTTCACAGATTGTAAGTAAAGTGGTAGAACAGCCCAACCCAGTGTTTGTTATTGGCTTCTATCAACACATTCATTGATGTAATGATTTATAGACAAATTACCATCGTAAAGATGAGAAGAATAAGGTGAGAGGCAGCATGTATATATATAGACACACACATATATGTATGTATTTAATAAACATCAGTATATTTAACTTTTCACTACACCAAAGTGATAATTTGATATTCTGAATTCTTATAACTACCTTGGTCTAGTTGTAATTTAGTCCTTGAGATGTCAATTCCTTTGCAGCTTCACACTGTTCTGTAAAGTTCCTCTTAGTATCCTATTTTAAAATGTCCATAGCTACTTCTTTCTCCTTCTATAAGACAAAGTGGGCACATACAAAATCATGATTAATTTATTAAATCTAATATTTTCAGTTGGTTTTTTTTAGTTGTCATGATCAACCACACCCATGAATAATTTCCTATTTTCCAATCCTCATTGTTTTGTTAAACTCAAAGTACTGTATGAATTCCAAACTCCTAAGGTAGCTTAAAAGATGTGCTAGGATAAAGTTGGGGTCTTTTTCTAGTTTTATCTGTTTACAAATAGACATTTTTCCCCAGTGAATACTCCAGCCATTGAGCTTATGCCTCTTTAACATGTTATATGTTAACTCCTCTGTGCTGTTGCCCTGATTTTATCATCTCTCTTCTGACATCCTTCTCGTCCTCACTACAGTGACCTCCTGTGTGCTGCCACATAGGACCTGTCTTTACTAGTTCACACAGCACACTTTTCTCTGATGGCACACGGTCAATTTAAAATGCTAAGTTAATAAGTTTGTGGAAAAACATCTAGAAGATGTCAGTTGGCTGTATATGTTCCACAAGAATTGAAACTTAAATGCATTTCTAAAAGGTGTTGAAGCTCTGTTATGCTTACTGAACTTAGCAAGGCTATTTTACTGGTATGTGTGTGACATAATTCAGTGTGGAGGTGTGTGTATTCCCACATTTGGAGGTCAGAGCACTGGTAGCTCTCCTTTTTAGTTAGGCAGACTGGCCCAGGAACTCTTGGGAATGGCCTGTCTCTGTTTCTCAATGCTTGGGTTTTAGGCCTGCAGAGCTCTGCCTGGCTTTTCTTAATTTAAATTTTTATTTTTAATGTAGGTGCTAGGCACTTAAACTCAGGTCCTTCTGCTTATAGAGCAAATGCTCTTACACACTGAACCATCTTCTCAAAACTCTAGTAAACACATTAAAATAAAGCAAGCATGAGGATTCAGGAGGAAAAAAAATTACTTAGACACAAAAAGCTAACTATTGAGAAAAGATAAAACATGAAAACAGTACTTTCATCTTTGGACCACCCAAAGAAAAAAATCAGTTTATTAAAATATGTCCATTACAATTAACGTCTAGTAAACACTTTTACGAGTGAGCTACATTCCAGTACTTTTGCTACCCAGAATGTCTCACTGGGATCCTCTATGTGTGGACTTATGCTTATATAAATAGTTATACCAACTTTTTATGTAGAATTTTGTTATAAATTGTGATGTAAAATATAAAAAAACAGAATATTTTTTCATCTATGAACACACATAGGCATCTCTTCTGTTTGTTTTACTTTCGAACATGACATGAAGGCTGACAGAAAGCCAGCATCGTGTATTGGGGTGTCTCCATATGAATCTTTATGGGAGGAGTAAGGCATGTTTCTTGACTCAAGCAACACTCTGGGATTCTGAGGTAGCTTCCAGTAGACACTGCTGTGGTGAAGAGCCATCAGACACTTACTCGGACACATTATGATATCTAGGATAATTGAGAGAGATGCTAGACTGTGAATGTTTCTATAGCATAGGTCACAGAACATACTTTTTAAAATGCATATTTTCATAAAACATAAAATGGGCATATTACGTTTGTCTTCCATGGCAGTTAACTCTCCAAACTTCAGTCACCAGAGATGCTGACAAGCCTAGGACATGACAGGGGTGCATAGCTGCCTGTCACTAGAGTCTGCCATTATGATTTCAGTATTTAGCATTCTCTATTCTCATGAAGTAACTTTCTGTGAACTTCCTGTAATGGCTGGCAGGCTTTCATTAAATATCAGCATCAAGTGTGTTGTGTGACTCCTCCATAATGAACAGATCAGTTATGCTATAGATTGTGTATGCAGCAGAGAAAGGTGAGGATAACACCAAAACACTAGGCAGTAAGTCTAATTTCAATGCTTCATGGCTGGCATTATTCGGCAATCTGGAAAAGCACCCTCAAAACAGATTACTGTCCAATCTTAACTCTTGTCACATTATTTAAGTAATTATTTCTTGCAAATGTTTCTTATACTTTTTATGTTCACAGGATTCCTTTCAAAAATAAATTTAGGGATGTTGAATGAGTCCTCTGCTGTCTGAATATGATCCTGTATTTCTTTCCAGGATTTACCCTGATTATGAAGCTTTTGATGCTTGATGAGGGTTGAACATCGTTGAAAGCTTACGCAGAGACTTCAGCCGTTGGTGGTTTCTTTCTGATGTGGACCTTCTTATGTCGACGGAGGGAAGAACTGCGGGTGAAGGACTTTTTACAGTAAGTGCACACATAGCTCTTTTTTGCTGAATCACAATCACGCGATAGACTTGTGGAAGGCTTTTCCGCATTATCATCTTCATGATCCCTGGCTTCAGTGTGAATCTTCTGGTGAGTCTTGAGGTTGGCACGTCTGTTGAAGAATTTCCCACACTTGTTACACTTGTATGGTTTCTCTCCAGTGTGAATAGTCTCATGTCGAATGAGAGATGAGGTTCGGCTGAAGGTTTTTTCACAACGGGGACATTTATAGGAACCTTTTGTAATTTGCCTTTTTTTGGGTTGAATCATTTGTCTATATTGTGACCACAGAAATCCTGAATAGAACAAATATCAAGACTGAATTAAATAAAAGGTACCTCATACCCTTCACCTCCCAAAAAACAAACAAACATAAAAAGCCCAGGTCAGATGGCTTCTCTGATAAATTTAGTGATACTTTAAAGATTTAAATGCAAAATTTTTAATTATTTTGTATAACTGAAATGAAGGGAATTTTTCCAGACTTACTCTATGAAATCAGTATTACTCTAATTGGACAAAGACACTCACCAAAAAAACTATACTCAAATGTCCCTAAGTATGGAGACAAAATTTCCAACAGATTAGTGGCAAATCAAATTCCATGACAAAATATTATTCACTTATGATCGAATGATATTGATTTATAGTTTTGTTTTTGTGTATCAAGTGATGAATGATGAAAATTTGTATAAAATTTTCTAGAGTTTTAATCAGGAACAAATTATTTACTTGTTGCAAATGACCAACACAAAAAAGTTATAATTTTTTCATAATCCACTCTTTACCCATCTTTTTGTTGTTGTTCTTTTTTGTTGTTGTTTTTTTAATTTTATTTTTTTCTTATCAGTTACATTTTATTAACTCTGTAACCCAGCCGTATCCAGCTCCCTCATTCCCTCCCAGTCCCACCCTCCTGTTGTTGTTGTTCTTAAACATGCCAAAGGATGGAGAGAAAATTTCAGATAATGATGAGACACTGTTCTTATCCCCAGGGAACAAAGCATAATACAGGAGGTAGGGTTCTATATAGATACAATCAAAAATAATTTTTTGATAAGCACTAAAAGAAGAATATGAGCTGTGGTAGTTTATAGCAGATAAAATCTAGGTAAGAAAGGTGACTTTGAAGTTATATTGAATTTTAGATATTAAGGAAGAATAGCAATCAGTGAGGGAAGAAATAGGGAAAATATAGGGGAAGAGTAGGAAAGAACATACTTCTAAGTCTCCTACACATGATGAATATAAAGAAAAGACAATGGGATCAAATGTTGAGGATTCAAAGACAGTTGTAATATGTCCCCTTTGGGTCTTTTTCTCTGCTGAACACTGACAACTACCACAGTGCTTAGGCCACAGCAGATTGGTGCTAAATATTGATACATAGTCAATGTTGGTTGACTGAAAGTAGATTAATGGAGTTGGAGTACAAATTGGGACAGTATATGGCACTAAGTGAAGTTAGCAAAGCAGGCAGGGGCTGGGATGCTGCACCATCAAACAACATACTGATTTTAGTTTTGCTTGTGCAAGGAGATCACATACTTTGAGCTTTGGCTGCAGTGTGACTATAGCACCAGAGAAAGGGAAAGATAGAACTAAAGGCATGCCAATACTGTAGTTCAGGTGAAAGAGAACAGTATGTAAACTAGCTCAGTGGTACTGCAGGGCAAGAGAAGGGGAGAAAATAAGAAATGTTTAGGAAGGTAAAACAATAAGAACTATTAAGTAGTAAAGAAGTAATGTTTTTAAAATTTATTTACTCTCAATAACTAAGTAATTGAATAAAAGCCAGTAAAATGTATTTTAGATACTGGGATCAACAATGGTGTTATTCATTCAGAAAGGGGAAAAAAATGAAGATGCCTGGACACAAAAAAATTAGATCTTGGGTTTTGTAAAATTTAAGACTTTTTATATAAGAGAAATGTTATGATGTATATAAGTTTCTGGTTCAGAGAAACCTGAGCTGAGGATGCAAGCCACTCATGTACTCATGGAAATGGAAGTTGTAAGTTGGAAAATGTCGAGTAAAAAGAGGGGATAAAATGGTGAGAAACTAAAACTTATTGGCTAGCTAGAGGAAGACTTGTCATTGTCAGAGATGAAATACACACCAGAAGGGAGAGGATTGATCGTAAGATGCTATATGTTTTAAAAGAGGGGAGTGGTTATCAGTGCCCCATGCTATTGAGACATGGGGCAAAGCTGAAAATATGCCCAGAGCATTTAGCTTCATGTGAGTTACTAAAGACTCAACAACTATTTGAGATGAATGTTGTGTCAGAGTTAAAATGGGATGAGTTGAGTAATAAGAGGTGAGGAAATGAGAAAAGCAAGTATACATTATTTTCGGAACTGTGGCTATCAAGTGAGAAACTAAAATACCTGGGCAAGGATCTTGCATAGTGAGAAAATATTTAAAAACTAGCAATGGCCAGAAAATGTTCAAGGTATGTATTTTTGACTCTGTGTTTAAAAGGACTGTTAGCCAGAGCTGAAAATTTATCCATGGTGCCCAAAGGACTTTAGAACATCTGCACAAAGATCCCAATGAAGTAATAATAACTTCAGAAGTCCTACAAGTGGTTAACAGAAGATGAAGCAGAAATGATGAAAAGATGGAAAGACAGGGAGAAATGAGGCCCAGAGACAAGGAAAGGCTTGGAAGACTTAGAACAGAAAGCAAGAAATAGAATCACTTGCCTATCCAGGCAAATGATATCCAGTGTTTGCCTGGGAGACAGTAACAAATAAGAATTATTCTACTATAAAGATAATATGAACGACTATAGCTTTATTGTGAACAATTTAGGAGAATGTAGCAACCAGTTAAAAATATGTATACCCTTTGGTACTAAAGTTCTTCTGCTAAATAACCCTTACAGAACATTTCAGATATGCTTGAAAAATTTCAGCAACTTGAATGTCTAGCAGTGTGTATGGTGATGGCTAAACATGTCTGTGCATAGAAAGGGATGTTACATGTGACTTAAAAATCACATATTTAGATGGTGTGTAGTGAAATATGTAGTTGTTTATGATACCATCATAGGTGGAAAAACAGGAGGTGAAATGACATCCTGGTGAATTTTTAAAATAGTGAGGAAACAATTATTATTATTATTATTTTTTTCTTGTAGAAAAAAAAAACCTACTCAGAACCCAAACAAGCATATCACGTAAAATGGCTTAAAACAACAGCAACAACAAAAACAAAGCAATGTGATAATACTGAAGAGGTCTGAGGAATGAGGCAGAGGCTGAGTTACACATCTTTCTATACTCACTGAAACTGAAATCAACCTCATGGTTTCACACCCTCTTATAGAGCGTTATTAAGAACATAGAGATTATGATTGAGAGTAAAATGCTAAGGCACAAGTTTAGAAGTTCCACAGTCAAAGAAAATTACCTGAAGCCATCCTGGCATAAAGCAGACTTTTCTATTCTTAAGGAGGAATAATGCTCAGAGCTAGATTTGCTCATGTTGTCTATTGAGCATTTCCCATGTGCCAAGCAATGTTCTAAGTTGGTCACAGTATTGCTATAATTAACTTCAAGTCACATAGATTTAAGTGTTACTGTTCATAACCCATGACACTATTCTGCTATTATATATATATATATATATATATATATGTGTGTGTGTGTGTGTGTGTGTGTGTGTGTGTGTATACTTTGTATATGTGTGTATATACTTTGTATATGTATCACATTATAGATATGTATGTATACACTTTGGGTTAGGAGGAAGTCTCAGCGGGTAAAGTGTCTACCCCACAAGCAGAAGGACCCCTAGAAAATCCTGGGCATGGCAGTAAGTAGTTGTAATCTCAGAATTGGGGAATGGGGACTGGCAGATCCCTGAGACTTTTTGGTCAGCCATCCTACTAACTTTATGAGCTTCAGATTCAGTGAAATGTCAACTTTGAGCTTCTACACACATGTACTTGTGCACACACATTCTCATGGGCACACACACATAACACATATACACAACACTGACACACATCAAACAAACGAAAAGGGACCCATGAACAAGGTTAATAACACTTTCCCCCCCTCTCAAATTTGGGTATTTTTGTTGTCATCTCTAACTATTTGAAGCCTGGGTTGCACAGAATGCAGACTTTGGCAGATGCTTTAAACCTACTTTATTGTTACACAAAATGACCTTTTCAAGGATTTCTTCCTCAATCCTTCTTTTCTTACTTTCCCAGCTGAGGTTTTCAACTGATCTGGATAACACACCAGCTATTCATAGGGGGGAAATATCAAACATATACAATACTTCAAAAACATTTCAATAAGGAGGAGAAACCTGTCCCAAGCAAGTAGGTTGAGCTGCTGAAAGAGAAGGACAGAAAGGGTTTGGCATAGTCCTGGCTCTAGGTGGGAGAAGGCTTTCAGACCAAGGAAATTCATCTTTGTGCTCAAAGGATATCTACACCCAGAACCAAACAAATACAAGTGCTTTAGCTGCCCAACCCTAAGAGAAGTGGCCAGCCAAGGACAGATTAGGTAAATACACAGAGCACCTTTCTGCACTTCGGACACGTTCCGATAGTTCTCCAGCATCACATCCCTGAACAGTTTCTTTCCAGCACAGTCCAGCTGTCCCCACTCTTCCTCACTGAATTCCACAAGCACATCATTGAAAGTCACTGGTTCCTAAAACACGAAGTTCCTTTTAAACCAGATATCTCTTCCAAAAACATTACTAGAGTAGGGATGAATTTGGAAAGAACAGAATAGGAACTGGAGTATCCAAGAAATTGACTGGATAATGTTTGGACCTTTGAATGATAAATACAAGGCTATATATTAATGGGCAGTCAGTTTGGTACTGAATATAGCAAGTGCTGAAAAGGGACAAAAATGTAGTCCCTAGTCTAGACCTCCTCATGATTTGTGGATGTGATAGTTAAAATAATTGTGGAATTAAAAAATTACAACATAAAGCATATGCATATACTAGACAGAAAGCACTTAAAGTGTATTTAAGGGGAAATTTATACTAAAAAGTAGGCTCTAAGGACAATGAAGGATAGTTTGTTTTTCTTATACATACAGCCTGATGACTTACCATTCAGGTCTCATAACTCAGTGTCACTTTGTCAGACAGGCAATATCAGCTGACTATTGGTTGGTACCTACTGTATTAGCACCCTTCCTCCTGAGTGCTGGGATTAAAGGCATACCCACCACAGCCCGGCTCATGGTTTATATTCTTAGCTTGTATAAATGTCCCTGGCATGATAGACCAGATCATCTGAATAAATGTTTAATGAATAAACTCCTTGGATCTCAGAATGAATTAACCCACTTCTTTCTCCAGCCCTTCTCAACTGTGTTTTATTAGCATCTTGAACATAACCAAACACACAAATTTCTTTCATCCCTCTCCTTCAGAATTTGTGAATAAGTTGTCTGTACTAATTTTTTTCTACTTCTTTACCTCCTTCTCTTCCTAGAAGCCAATGCAAACTGGCTTCTCTCTCTATGAGAAATAAATGGCTATCACTACAATGGCTACTACTCCAATAACTTAACTCATCTCTCCTTCAGATGCCCCCATACTTCATCCTCCGTAGCACAGTTTCTTGTCTACCTTATGTCCTTTATTTCCTCTATCTTTTGAGGGTTCTTCTACTCTATAGTAGTAACATTTCCTAGGATTCTTCCCACAGGGCCCTTTCACTTTTGATCCTAAACATTTAATGGTTAGTGTCTGTAGCTTCAACTTCATCTAGATTGTGCAGAGAGCAGATGCACAGAGAGAACACGTGACTAAGGGAGACTACTTTCCAAAGTCTGTCACCGTCTTTAACAGGCTCAGTGTCTTAGAGAAGAGTAGCAGTTGCATGCTTTTGGGTGAAAATATGCCTAATAAAAGCCCGGAGACAAAAATGTATGTCCTTTTATAAAATGGCTTGGTGACAAATTTCCATTAACACACAGGATCATAATTCACCTGGAGTTCGTGTGTTTGTGGCTGAGCTTCTGAGCGCTCCTTCTCCGTGCTTCCATCCTGAAGGGCAGAGTGTTTGCACGGTGTATCTGAGGAAGACAAAGGAAAAGAATCTCAGGGAGACAAATTTTGCCCTGGATTAACTTTTAATGAATGAAATAGTATTTTAAATTTATTTATCAGGATCATCTATAGAAGTTTATAAAATAATATTAGGCCTAGAGATCGGAATTCCCAAGGGCAAGGCACAGGTCTTATAGTTTTAAAACTATGAAAGTGAATCTAATATTCTATCAAAGAATACTACCTAGTGGAGTATAGAAAATACACCACTAAAATGATTATAAATGATTATAGTAGGTTCAAAAGAATAAATTTGATTTTTATCATAACTGAAACCTAACTAAGGGTTAACAGTGCAAGCTGCAATTCTACTTGTAGCTAAAAATATCACATCTAACCAGCCACCTCCTCAGACATGTGGGTCAAGAATTCTACCAAGAGTCGTTTAACTTGCTCCAGGATTATGACACACAGATTTAAGGGTACTTTGAAATACCAATACTTTTTCTTTTTTTAATTAAAATTTTAATTTTTATATTAATTACAGTTTATTCACTTTGTATCCCAGCGGTAGCCCCCTCCCTCCCTCATCTCCTCCTCTGCCCCTCTCCAAGTCCACGGATAGGGAAGGTCCTCCTCCCCTTCCATCTGACCCTAGCTTATCTGGTCTCATCTGAACTGGCTGCTTTGTCCTCCTCTGTGGCTTGGCAAGGCTTCTCCCCCATCCAGGGGAGGTGGTCAAAGAGCCAGCCACTCATATAGACATATAATATAGGATAAACCTTCTAAAATCTGTATACCCAAAGAAACTAATCAAGAGGGAGGACTCTTGCTAAAATGTTTAATTCCTATCCAGAAAGGCAAAGAGGATGGACATCAGAAGAAGGAGAAAACAGGGAACAAGTCAGGAGCCTCACACAGAGGACCTCTGAAAGGCTCTGCCCTGCAGACTATCAATGTAGATGCTGAGACTTATGGGCAACCTTTGGGCAGAGTGCAGGGAATCTTAGGAAAGAAGTGGGAAATAGTAAAGATCTGGAGAGGACAGGAACTCCACAAGGAGAGCACAGGGGTCTTTCCTGAGACTGATATTCCAACCAAAGATTTATGCATGGAGATAACCTAAGACCCCTGCACAGATGTAGCCCATGGCAGTTCAGTATCCAAGTGGGTTCCATTGTAATAGGAACAGGGACTGTCTCTGACATGAACTGATTGGCCTGCTCTTTAATTACCTCCCCCTGAGGGGGAAGCAGCATTACCAGGCCACAGAAGAAGACAATGCAGCCACTCCTGATGAGACCTAATTGACTAGGAGCAGAAGGAAGGAAAAGAAGACCTCCCCTATCAGTGGACTTGGGGAGGGGCATGCATGCAGAGGGTGGAGGAAAGGAGGGATTGGGATGGGAGGAGGGAGGGAACCACAGGGGGGATACAAAGTGAAAAAAATGTAATTAATAAAGAATTTAAAATAAAAAAAAGAGACAGCCACTGAGTTCATGTCAGAGACAGTCCCTCTTCCCTTTACTATGGAACCCACTTGGAGACTGAGCTGCCATGGGCTACATCTATGCAGGGCTTCTAGATTATCTCCATGAATGGTCCTTGATTGGTGTATCAGTCTCAGAAACTAAAATACCCATGCCCAGATATTCTAGTTCTGTTGCTATGCTTTTGGAGCTCCTGTCCTCTCCAGGTCTTACCATCTCCCTCTTCTTTCCTAAGATTCCCTGCACCCTGCCCAAAGTTTATGAGTCTCATATCTGCTTTTATACAATGCTGGGTAGAGTCTTTCAGAGGCCCTCCATGGTAGGCTCCTATCCTGTTTCCTGTTTTCTCCTTCTTCCAATGTCTGTCCCCTTTGCCTTTCTGAATGAGGATTGATCATCTTACCCAGAGTCCTCCTTCTAGCTCACCTTCTTTGGGTATACAAATTTTAGTATGTTTATCCTAAATGTCCAGTATCCACTTATAAGTGAGTATATACCATGTGTGTCTTTCTGCTTCTGGAATACCTCACTCAAGATGACCTTTTCTAGTTCCCACCATTTGCCTGCAGATTTCATGATTTCCTTGTTTTTAATTGCTGAGTAGTATTCCACTGTATAAATGTACCACAATTTCTGTATCCATTTCTCCATTGAGGGACATTTGGGTTGTTTACAGGTTCTGGCTATTATGAATGAAGCTGCTACGAATATGGCTGAACAAATGTCCTTGATATATACTTGAGCATATTTTGTATATATGCCTAGAACTTCTTGAGTTCTTTATATATTGTAGTCCTCTGTCAGATACAGGGTTGGTGAAGATCCTTTCCCAGTCTGTAGGCTGTCATTTTGTTCTGACAACAGTGTCCTTTGCTTTACAGAAGCTTTTCAGTTTCATGAGGTCCCATTTATTGATTGTTGATTGTAGAGCCTGTGCTGTTGGTGTTCTGTTCAGGAAGTTGTCTTCTGCACCAATGAGTTCTAGGCTCATCCTCACTTTTTCTTCTAACCAATTTAGTGTGTCTGGTTTTGTGTTGAGGTCTTTGATCCACTTGGTTTTGTGCAGGGTGATAAATATGGATCTATTTGCATTTTTCTACGTATAGACATCCAGTTAGACCAGCACCATTTGTTGAAGATGCTGTCTTTTTTCCATTGTATGGTTTTTGTTTCTTTGTTAAAAATCAAGTATCCATAGTTGTGTGGGTTTATTTCTGGGTCTTTAATTCAATTCCATTGATCCACCATTCTGTTTCTATGCCAGTACCATGTGGTTTTTATTACTATTGCTCTGCAATACTTTTAGAACATAAAAATCCAAGAGGTAATCAAAAGACTTTTGGTAAGATGTATATCCAAGGTTCACTAGTCTAACACAAATGCCAGACTACAGACCAATACTGGTCTCTGAGTAAATCACTCTTGATTCAGAGATTCAGGGGAGGGGAGGAAGTAACATAGTAAGTGTACTATAACTTTATGTAACGAATTTTTCAAAGTTCAAATGTCTTTTTTCTTATGTGAATTTTTGAAATTCCTTGAAAAGAGTTGTCAAATCTACATCACCTCCACCCTGATTTTTTTTAAAGCTTTTAATGATCTTACTATTTGAGAATCATTCATAGTTTTTTATTGTACAACTGGATTCAAAGAAAACTGAAATTGCCTGGAGTCTTAAAATGCATCTGCATTTATCAGCAACATATTGTCTAAATGCTGCAAAATGGATTGTGGTCAGATTTTTGTCAGGGCTGTAACAAGCTGTGGAGCAGCAAGCTGTTCAGTCTCGTTCTCTATGCTGGTCAACAGGATGCTGGTCTTTCTTTTTGGAAATGCATTTGTTGTCCTGGAATAGCACCACCCTCCTAACCCTAACCCTACTTGCTGTACTCCTTGAAAACAGTTTCTCCCCAGTGTTAATCTTCACAATTGTGCTCTCTGAAACTTCTATTTGGTTCAAAAAGAGGTTTCCATGTCCTGCCTCAAGTACTTTACGAAGTGTTTCTTTTCCTTTCTTTCTGAAAACAAACCTTTGTCACCATCTAGGCCATCTCTTAGCACCCTTTAAGTGCTATTATTTTGGAAGCTTTGATATATTGGCACATCCTTCTTCCCGTTTGTACACAATAATTTCTCCTGTGAAATAATACTGTGTATTCTTTAGTTATTCCATTCTTGCTGCTATAATTCATCAGGCTATTAAAAATTTCATTTTTAACACAAATTTACTGACCTCCTCCCATATGTGAAACATTCAAATTGCTGCCACAGTGAGCCTAGTCCATTATGAATGGCAACATCAACTAATTGCAGTCAACAGAAACTTTGATTATTTGGCTCATATTTTTTCTACTTCAGTCTTTGTAGCATTATGGTATGTAATATCAAAAGTGTCAGGCAACCTCAACAGCCCAGAGTGACCAACTTTTATAGAATTATTTCTAGTAACATGATTACCAATCTACTTCATTGTTCATATTATTGCTTAGAATTATGCTGCCATGAAAATAAAATTGAAAAAAAACACAAAACAAAACATCCAAAGCCACATCCTCCTAGCCTTTGGATATTTGCTTCCTTCCATTAAAAAAAAAAAAAAAAAACTTAAAAAAAAATCAAGGTCCTACTCCTTGCCACTCTAGCATCAAAAGAAGGCGGCGATTCTCCCTGTTGTCAGGGTCTACTAATTTTCTAGGCTCTCACCTGGGTCATGGAGTATTTCAACCACATTCTCTATGAGGGTCATCATATCATTGCTGTTTTCAGGGTGCTGTGAATACACCCAAGTTCTGACCTTCTCTGGGAGGCTTTCTACGAGCTGTTCCAGCACCAGCAGATGTAGTATCTGATCCTTCGTATGAACCTCTGGTCTCAGCCACGAAACACAAAGATCCCAGAGTTGGCTTAGGGCTTTGTGGGGTTCAGACACATCTGAGTACTGGAAATGTCTGAACTTCTGCCGAGATGCCTCAGAGTCATGTCTGTCCTCGGCAATCATATATCTCCAAGACCTATCAGCCCTCAGGACTTCACTTTGTTCATGTAGAGCCAGCTTTTGAGATTTTGTAACAGCCATCTACTTGGTTAGAGACTGTGTGTTCCACTGTGGTTCAAATCTGCCCTTCTTCTATAGCATTCCAGTACTTCTGAGGCATGGGTACCTTTTTATTACATGCAGGATTATTTTGAACCAGGTCAAAGAATTGTAGGAGCTTCAGACATGGGGCCAATATGCAGCTTCCTCAGAGACTGAAAAAAAAAATCAAATATAAACAGGACCCACAGATAACATATCTACTAGCATAATGCTAAAAATAAGATACTATAAACAATCTTTTTAAAATTACCTATTAAAACAATACCAGCTCTTCTTTTACTAGCTTAGAATAGGAAAAACGTGTTTCCCTTCACCTCAGCTACCCCTTATAAAAGACAAACACAGACAAAACAAGTGACAAAGGGAGCCATTTGTTTAAAAAAACTTAAAAACACTTATTTTATTTTTATTAATTACACTTTATATCCCAGCTGTAGCCCCTCCCCCTCCCAATCTCAGCCTCCTTCCCTCTTCTCCTGTGCCCCTCCCCCAGTCCAATGATAGGGGAGGTCCTCCTCTCCTTCCATCTGATCCTAGTCTATCAGGGCTCATCAGGACTGGCTGCATTGTCTTCCTCTGTGGACTGGTAAGACTGCTGCCCCCTCAGGTGGAGGTGATCAAAGAACCAGCCACTGAGTTCATGTCAGAGACAGCCCCTGTTCCTATTATTGGGGAACCCTCTTGGATACTAAGCTGCTATGGGCTACTTCTGTGCAGGGGTTCTAAGTTATCTCCATGCATAGTCCTTGGTTGGAGTATCAGTCTCAGAAAAGACCCCTGTGCCCAGATTTTTTTGGTTCTGTTGCTCTCCTTGTGGAGCTCCTATCCCCTCCAGGTCTTTCTATCTCTCCCTTCTCTCATAAGTTTCCCTGCACTCTGCCTAAAGTTTGGCTATGATTCTCAGAATATATTTTGATACCCTGCTGGGTGGAGCCTTTCAAAGGTATCAAAACAAAAAACTCTTATAATTTCTTATAATTAAAATTAGGTACATTCTCAGCAAGACTTCTTTTTTTTTTGCTTAAAAACAAAATAAATATTCAAGCAAGATGTTCAGGTTCAGGCTTCAGACAATGTGCCTGAATAAATTTCTGAGATTCTTATTCAAGTACCAGTGATATTACATAAAAACTGGGTGAAAATATGAATAAAGTTTAGATCTTATTATTCCATGACTTGTAAAAAATGTACAGTATTAACATAAAATGCTACTCATGAGAAAACTAGGTGCTGGATAGGTGGGAATTCCTCCATCTTCTCCATTTTTCCATAACTTTATTCACATAGCTCCCACTCCCTAGAAGTAGGAAGCCACAGAGGCTGGTACTGTCTACCTGAAAGCTCTTACTCAGGATGCTGTGGCTAGGGAAGAAGGTTGTGCCATGGCACCCTTCCTAGACCATTTTTAGGTCCTACTAAACAAGACTGACTTCTAGTTTTTCCAGAATAAGTCCTTCCTGTAATGAAGCTCTCCTGGAATAGTTTCAGGAGAAACTACTCAATAACAACCCAATTTTCTCACCCTATTGGCTGAGGCCCACATTTAAGAAATCTAAAATCGCCCACACCTGTTTATACCCGTCACCCTTTGTGACCTGGCCTCTAGTGCTGATCCAAGTTTGTCAAGGTACTTTTGGTTTATGTAATTATATTGTCTCAAGTCATCAACAATGCTCACAAACTTCCCCTCTACCTGTTGTAAATATAGGCCGCCAAGGCCATAACTCTGTGAGGATACACAAAAGCCAGATGACAGTTCAATGCCCAGCAGGTGAAAGGCCCTTTTGACAGGCTCATGACCCCAACCGGCATAGAATAGGCTAGGGTTAGATGGAAGGGGAGGAGGACTTCCTTTAACAGAGGACTGGGGAGGGGTATGGGAGGAGGAGAGGGAAAGAGGGTGAGTTTGGGAGGATACAAGGGAGGGGGCTACAGCTGGGATACAAAGTGAATAAATTGTAATAAAAAATAAATTAATAAAAAATAATAAAAATAAATAAAGGCAATCCCTAACTCACAGGATTCTAATAGAATAAACAAGTTCAATGCTCAATTCATTGTTAAAGTGCATTGAGTGCAAAATCCATGCTCAAAAACTGTCAAAAAAAAAGACGATAAACTGGAAGACCTTTATATATAGGCTTAGATGAAAGAAAACAAGCAAACATAGCAGGACAGAGAAAGAAGCATCAATGAACAAGATTTGACTCATCAACTTAAAATTCTACAGGTAGAAAAGCCCAAAAGAGGTATAATTGATACCAGAAAAAAATGTACTATGGTCACAAATATTTGTTAAAAATATTTTTTTAACAAATGTTTAAAAAATAATAAGAAGAAAAAGCTCAGTTCATATATTAAAGAAACAAAGTAAAGCAACTATAGTGTACACACACACACACACACACACACACACACATATTTGTTTTCTGTTTTTATGATTTTGACACAGGGTTTCTCTGTGTAGCTTTTGCTCTCCTGGACTAACTTTGTAGACCAGGCTGGACTCAAACTCACAGAGATCTGCCTATCTCTTCCTCCCAGAGTGCTGGGATTACAGGTGTGCACCACCATGCCCACCCAGCATATATATTTTTTAAAGATAGAAATAACAAAGATACTTATTCTCTATTGTGAATTATGTCAAAATTCAAGTTCAAGGGTAGAAAAAACAGAAAATACAAATGAACTTCCAATGTTGAAAATAAAAGTATATATTAAAAAAAATACACGAAAGAATAACAAGATGGGTGCAAGTGAACCAGATACAGAGTGAATTAAAAGCACAAATTAACAGCAGAAACTAAGTGATGGCGACATAACTCCTAATGAAACAGAGCTGCCATTAAATATGTCAAATGACACGGCTGAAACAAATATTTATCACTCCACACAAGAAATGAATTCCTCAATGATATAGCAGAGAAGGGAAACTAAGCAACTTTTGAAAATCTTAACACAGAAATCAATCACACAGGCTATAGGTAATATGCTCTATTTAATAGCTCTCTAAAATCAGATAGGTTATAGTTACTATTCAAACATCCATGAAAATGTTTACAAAAGCTCTTATGGGGCATCCAAAAGAAAACTTTCAACACATAGAAAGCGAGCCAAAGAGCTATCATTTGCTACCTTAATACAATTCATAAACTAACATCAAACATTAAAAAAAACTACTTCAAGATTTAAATTTTTGCTCCTCCCCCAAATAAAAACCTCATTAAAAATGATTAAAGGAACAGTAGTAAAATATCTGAAAATTAAAGATGATAAAGCATTGTATATCATATTCTTTGCTTAATTAGGCGATGGCTAAGTTTTCCATACATTTAAGCATCTCAATGATTAAACATTAAATCCAGGGAGTGAAAAGCATGCAGATGTGAACAGCTGGAAGGACCCAGAAGTTAAGAGCACAAACCAATGAACCACTCCACGCAGATCATTATAGAGACAGCAAGCCAAGAGGTTCAGGATGAAATGCTTGTATTTTACATGTTGGCATCTAAGGTTACAAGGTCCAAGTCATTGTCATGACTGTAGAGTAAATGGTATATTTAATGAGTGCTGGAACAGCACTATCAACAGATTAAATTACAGTATTTGAAACCCTCTGGGCAGGGTGTAGCTCGGTTGAGAGAGCACTTGCCTAGTATGCCCAGAGCTCTAGGTTCAGTCCCTTAGCATTGTGGAAACAGAGTGGCAGTGCTAACCCTAAATCCCAGCCCTGGAAGGTTGGAGGCAGAGATGAGAAGTTCAAGATTTAGAGATGGCTCACTGGTTGAGAGCACTGGTTATTTTCCCAGAGGACCCAGGTTCAATTCCTGGTAGCTGTATGATGTCTCACAACCGTCTGTAACTCCAGTTCCAGGGGATCTGAAACACTGTTCTGACTTCTGTGGGTCCCAGGTTAGCATGTGATGCACAAACCTACAGGCAGGCAACACACTCCTAATAGAGAATACAAACAAATGACTAAGGAAAAGAAGCTCAAGGTTTACATGGAAACTTTGTCTCAACAAACGAAACAAACTGAACAAATGCCTTGAAGATGATGGTGAGACCTGAGATAAATGGAGTTTAGCCAGTCCCTCTGCCTGAGAAGACCCAGGACAATGCAGGTGACAGGAATATGGTTAGGTAATTGCAGCCAGCTGACAGAAATTGCATGGATTTTTATGGCTTAGAGGAACTTGAAGAGTTGTTTAATGTAAAGAGATGGTGATGTAATTAAATTGGTTGCTGGTGGGGCAATTAAGAAGTTAGTCTACTGAAATACAGAAAATTTGCAAATCAGAGTATTTGAGTTAAGTAAAATCCCTGCAAGTTCTGACACTTTTCTGGTGATGTCTAGGAAATGTCTCTGGGATCAAAGCATAGGTAATAGTCTTTCTCGCGATGAACACAGACTAACTATCCAACACCGAGTGATCAGCACCGAGATATACACCGAGATGGAGAGGTTGTAGTTACGTAACAATTGAAGGAAAAAGGTGGCACGTTCGAAAGTTAGCAAATTCACGGGAGGGTTTGCAGGGAAAAGGGGAAGGAAAATGATGTCATTATATTATAACCTCAAAAACTAAAAGAAACAATTAAAAAATTAATTTTCTTTTCCTGGTGACACTTAGTATTTTGGTAAGGGATCAATACTAGCCATTTCCAAACCATCAGCCCAGAGTTATTTCTACCAGGACGAGCACCTACAGTCTGCGTCACAGCAAAGCCACAGAGGGGACCACAGGATCATATCTAGAACCAGCGGCCCTGCAGCTCACCGTCCCTCCTCGCCTCGTGTTCTCACAGGCGGCTCTGCCTTTCATGGCCTTGTCTCAGCTCAGCACCCAGGACGGAGCTAGGAGACTGTACCTGCACATAGTCACAACCTACTGGATCCATTTTTTTTTTTTTTTTTTTTTAGTGTGATCCCAAACTCACCAAAGCCACTGGAACGACTTGGAGACACTTGTGAGCAC